CCGGCAGGGACAAAAGTTTTCAGAATGCTGCTACGTGGGAGCCTGGCTAGCTTTCTGTGGCTCCAAAGGTGACTGAGCCAAGTCATTTCCTCTAAAGTTGAAAAGGACTGGGCACAGGCCCTGCCAGCCCGTGACACCTTGATTTTTTGCTATATGAGAACTGTGTCAGACTTACACCTATGAAATTGCAAGAAAGTAAATGTGAATGTTTATAGCTCTGAGTTCATGGAGATTTGTTGCAGAGCAATAGAAAGCGGCACAGTAAAACCCACACTTTCGAGGAACTGGCCCGCTGTTTCCTCCAAGCTGTCAAATGGACTTTACAGTGTATTCATTTAGAGCTGTTATTGGTTTACCTACTTCTTGCCAGTAATGCTTGTGGACTCCCAGTGATGGCCCCTTCATCTCCAATGCTGGTGATGTGTGGCTCAGGATGCAGAATCATCTGTAGTTTCATTGATCTTTCTCTATACTTTGTTTTCAACTTTACTGGTTTTTCTTCCTTTTGGGTTTTTTGTTTGTTTGTTTGTTTACTAATGTATAAAATTATCATTGACCTTTTAATGTATTATTGAACCATAGGTTATAATCACTTAATTAATTAGGGTTTTGTTTGTTTGTTTTGGAGACAGGGTTTCTCTGTTGTGTAGCCCTGACTGTCCTAGAACTTACTCTGTAGACCAGGCTGGCCTTGAACTCAGAGATCCACCTGCCTCTGCCTCCTGAGTGCTGGGATTAAAAGCGTGCGCCACCAACGCCCAGCATCATTTAATTTATAACAGAGGCTCACAACATGCCTGTGACTCCCATGGGTCCCATGGGAGTCCAGCCCTTCACCCCGACAGGGCTCTGTTCCCTGCCGTGCTCCTGCTGACTCCACCCTGCTCAGCAAAGGCCTGACCTACAGCACTAAGTCAGGTGTGTGTGTGTCTGTGTGTCTGTGTCTGTGTGTCTGTGTGTGTGTGTGTCTATGTCTGTGTGTGTGTGTGTGTGTGTGTGTGTGTGTATGTCTGTGTGTCTGTGTGTGTGTGTGTCTGTGTGTGTGTGTCTCTGTGTGTGTGTGTGTCTCTGTGTGTGTGTGTCTCTCTGTGTGTGTGTGTGTGTGTGTAAGAAATGAACGAGCGAAGGAGGAGCATCAGCTAGGCTGTGTCAGGAGGAGGGCATGCTCCATGACAAGGATTACAGGGCACTGGGTCACCTGGTCCTTAGTGACCCATATGGTTGCACCTTAGGCAACCAGGCCCCTCTCACCACTTCTTCCAGCAACAGCAGGGTAACAGGACCAGAGCCTACCCATCAGAGGAGGCCCCTGCTGGGCCTGTGGCTCAACAGCCTAGTGCTGGATCCGCCCCTCACTGCAGTCCCCAGAATCTACTTTCCTGCCCGCAGGGGTCACACCCCTCAGCTTCTTTGGAGTACCAATGTGATAAACTGTCACACACAAGGGCAGAAGGGGCGGTGGGGAACTAAGTCTAGTGGTGGCAATCCCTCCATGGAAACCACCTATACTCCAGACCAACCCGCAGGGCTGGAGGAGTTCTCAAGGGCTCAGTGTTTACTCTACCACACGGGAGCCTGGCAGGGCCTCCTTTGCAGCTCCCCCAATTCCGGCCAGCCCTGTTCCAGCCCTCTCATCTTGTCCTTTCTAAATCCACTCACAGACACTCTGACCACATCTCCAAAGTGTCTCTTGACCTGGCCACAGCCAGGCTCCAGCACCACCCTTCAGAACCATGCCCTGCTCGTGGCTAAGGCAGCAATGCCATTCTGAGCCTGCTTCCCCTGACCACATGTGTGGTCGAAGTGTGTCAGCTCAGGCGGCAGCACACACAGGCTGAGTCAGTGTTTGTTCCTCTGTGAAATACGACACCACTCTTTTAAGGCCGAAAGGCAGTGGTACCCAGTGATCGGCAGACTGAATCCTGATTCCCACAGTGGAAATGGCTATTGCTCTGATGACCACAGTCATCAAGGCTTTTTGTGGCTAATGTGGGCAGAGGAGGGCTGAGAGGGGGACCCAGGAAAGGGACTGCAAGGAACGAGACCACCCACTTACCCTTTGTTTCTCTGGATCTGTGAAGCTGAACTTTCTAAACCAACAGTGACCATCCCACCCTGCCTTCCTGGGGATGGAGGGCCTTGGCAGCCAGCAGGAGCCAGCCTTTGGTGCACTGGGAAAGACTGAAAAACAAACTCACCAGAATCCAAATCAGGAAAGCCCAGAGCTGGGGTTGCCATGGCAACTTGCAGTAGGCTCCTAGCCTGGCACTCAGCCTCTCTGGGGTGGGGGTCTAGGCTTGCCAGGCTGGGTTTGTCCCTCCTTAGACTTCCCCTGGACACTGTGGGTGGGGGCAAAGACACAGAAGGGACACCTCTGGCCTGTTTAGTAGCCAAGCAGGCCTGGCTTGCCTGGGCATCCACTGTTAGCTGACGCAAGACTACTACTTCTCTCCCAGATCAATACCCACATGCAAGGGCCGCCCAGTATCCCCACTCGCTGCCTGGTCAATACGGCATTTCCCATGTGGAGATGCCCTCAGGCCTCACCAGTGCCCGTGGCCCTCTGCCCAGGTAAGAGTGCCATGAGGTGACCCTCCAGGCCATCCTCTGAGCTAAGCAGGGAAGGGACAAGCTTGAATGCCCAGTGCTGGCGGGTGCTTTGTGCACAGACTCTGTTGTTACTAACAGTATTCTTTTTTATCTGAGCGGTTACATGACTTTCAAGGAGAAATCGCCAGAGGTTGCCAACTCTCAGAGCAGCCTTTCTTGAGAAGCCTGGTACTGGAAGCCCTGTGCCGCCCAGCATGTCCCTGGAGGTGCATCACCGGTGGTTCACAGAACTAGCCTGAGGTCTCCCAGGGATAGGCCAAGCCCCATGTGCACAGACACAAGAGACAGACCACAGTTTTTATGTCCCTGTTTAATGGCCAAGCCAGTGCTGCCCAGATGAAGCTCATGCCCCAGCAGGGAAACCCTCCCTCCTGGCTGACGGCCCCTGAAGAGCCCACCCAAGCTCTCACTAGCGTCATCCTAGTCCACTCCTGGTGTCGGCAGCCTCATCTGAGTTCCTTTAGCAAGCTGTTGATGGAGGCCAACAGTTCCCGGAAGTAGCCCTCATCTTCACCTTCTTGGAGTTCCAGGGAGGCCAGTGCCTGGTACTCTGCTTGGAGACTGCCTAGTGTCCTGCTGAGCTGGAGGTCTTGACGGTAGCGATCCCGGCAGGTGGCCAGGAGGGCGCCCAGCGTCTGCAGCACCTTCTCCCGGGCATCATGCTCCGGAAGTGCCAGGAGCTGGGCAGTGATCTCACACCAGCCCTGTTCCCGCAAGCCCGGGAGGAGCTGCACCTGGCGATACTGCTGCAGCTTCTCTGGGGATGAGTCCTGGGTCAACTCTGCCTCCTCCTCAGCAAACATCTGCACAGCCAGGGACCAGGGTGTGGGGAGAGAATACGGACAGCAGTTATCTTGCACTGGGCTGGCTCTTCCCATTAGGATATGTTTAGCTATTTTCTGTGTGACTTTGGGCCACCAGGGCCTCCTGGGAGGAGTCAACTGGACTCCTGGCTTTTCATACATTCCCTCAACTGTCTGTGTGTCCATCTGTCTGCCCATTCATGCATTCATCACAACATCAGCACACAGTGTTGGAAGCTGGAGAAACCAAAAGGCAGACCCAGTTCCTGTTCCTAGAATCTAGCAAGTGAATAAGAATTCCTTCATGTGGCTGGTGAATGGCTTGTGGGTAAGGACACAGCTCTGCAAGTCTAGCAGCAGGAGTTCAGTTCCCAGATCCACATAAAGGTGAATGGGGAAGAACAAAACAAAAAAACTAACCCACAGAGTTGTTTTAGCATCCCGACACACACATCATACCACAGCACTTACATGTAATACTATGTACATGCACATGTGTACACCACTACACACACTATTAAAAAATTCCAAAACAAAAAACAAAACAAAAAAAGGGCTGGAGAGATGGCTCAGAGGTTAAGAGCACCGACTGCTCTTCCAGAGATCCTGAGTTCAATTCCCAGCAACCACATGGTGGCTCAGAGCCATCTGTTATGAGATCTGGTGCCCTCTGCCGGCATGTAGGCAGAAGACTGTAGACATAATAAATAAATAAATAAATAAATAAATAAATAAATAAATAAATAAATCTTAAGAAAAAAGGGGGGGCTGGAGAGATGGCTCAGAGGTTAAGAGCACTGACTGCTCTTCCAGAGGTCCTGAGTTCAATTCCCAGCAACCACATGGTGGCTCACAACCATTCGTTATGAGATCTGGTGCCCTCTTCTGCTGTGCAGATATACATGGAAGCAGAATGTTGTATACATAATAAATAAATAAAATCTTTAAAAAAAATTCCTATATATAGCATGACTTTCCCTGTACTTTCCCTGTTCAGTACTGGGCTGGTGGACACACAGGAAACCCTTGTGGAAGGAACCAGAGGTGGGTCAGCTCCATGACCATCAACTCAGGCAGGCATACACCACACAGAAGCCCAGACACCAAGGTGCTGCACCCACTAGGGGCTCACCAATGCTGAGGCAGAGGAGGAAAAACCTGGGTAGCTGAGCCAACCAAGGCCTTGAGGTATATATGGTAGTTTTTCCAAACAAGCTGTCATCCTTAGGCCATTCTGAAACACCCACTCCATGTCTAGCTACAGTTCTTTCTTCCTTAGGGACCACATGAGGTCCTGAAGTCCCCTGGCTCAAAGTCATCATTGTCCTTCCTGGAGGAGAATGGCTGAACCCATAGCGTTTACAGAGGAGACAGCAGAGGAAAGAGGTCTGTTCCTCCGTGAGTACCGGGCAAACTCTCCTCTGGGCCTGCTGGCCCTCCTCTCATGGTGCCTGATGAAAGGCCATTTTACTTGGCTCTGAGCAGCACAGAACTAAGAAACTAGATTCAAGAAGCTCTGATGGACAGAGACACACGACTGACAGATGAGACAAGCGGGGGTGGGAGGGGCACAGGAAGAGAAGGGGAAAGAGAGACAGAGGAGAAAGAGAGAGAGAGAGAGAGAGAGAGAGAGAGAGGAGAGAGAGACAGAAAGAGAGTGAGAGAATGGAAAGAAGAGACACCTGTCTACAAAGTGCCTTGAGAGAGAGAGAGAGAGAGAGAGAGAGAGAGAGAGAGAGAGACAGCTCCACTGCTTAGAGGAAAGCTGGGGAGTGGTGGGAAGGCCTGCAGCTTCCAATGGTGTACATAAAGCTCAGGACGCTACAGCCCTGTCCCACCAGTCAGCAATGGACACAAAGGA